TTTCGGTCCAGTAGCAACCAAACAACAAGACGAGGAAATCTGAGCATGCAACACGTGGCCATTATCCACCAATTCCATATTTTCCCCATCTGAAGAAAATTTAGAAATTTGGTCTAAAATCAAGCTACTTTCTCCAAAACCAAGGGGCTCAATACCATGCAAAGAGGCGGTATTTTGAAGAGGACCATGCTTATTTTTTAAAAACTCAAAGGAGGACCCATCAGGTACAAGCATACACTGTTGGTCAATAGTACTTTGGTCATTATTCAAATGACCCATATCCTTCCCAACGGTACTATAGTCATCATTATTTCCCAATAAAGTAATATTATGCAAGGTATTATCCAAAGGACAATGATGCCCATCCTTCCTAGAGCCTTCCCCCATGCTGGCACATTTAATGCTCTCCTGACCCACACCCATTTCTTTCTCTTCCAAAGTAGGTAGCATGCAGTCCTTTTTCTTTTTTTCTTCTTTTCCAACACCCACCTTCCCATCCAGAGTAGGTAGCAGCATGCAGGCCATTTCTTTCTTTTCTTCTTTTTCCAAACCCACCTTTTTGTCCCACATCACATCCACGGCTTTGGCAGACCCCTCCCCATCTTCCATCCCACGACTTAGCAGAGGACCGTTGAAGAAGGCAGAAACATCTTCCCTGTTTACGGTACACAGCAGATTACCAAAAACCATCGGCGGTTTTGAGGATTGAGAGACGACCATTGGATCATCAAGGATGCCAACGTCCCTAGCTCCGGCCGACTGTACATGATCGAACTTAGCTTCATTTTGACGAAAACTCGAGGCATCAAGGGAGAAAGCCACGGAGCTTTCAGAAATAGCAATGGGGTGGCTAAACCGATCAGAGTGCAATTTCGGTAAACCGTCCGTAGAACCCACTAGAACCTGCAACTCTTCGGGAGACCCAGCAAGGCACTTCTTTAGGGGAGAGACCACTTGGTTTTTACAAGAGGCAGCAGCAAGACCGTCACTAAACAGATTGGAGTGCCGGTAGTCATGTAGAATCTTGTCACTAATAGCATGAACAATCAAAGGGGCAGAGTTTTCCAACCTCGAGCATCTACGAACGGAAGGAAGAACAAGATGACCACTTTCATCACCTTTCCCATCACCTTCTTCACATGCAACATGACACCATCCAACATTGAAATCCAAAGCATCTTGAGCCGTTGGGGGGGGGGGCTGTTGCATCTATTTTCAAACTCTTCCCTAAGCAAAACACCAAGACTCAAGTTAGGAATCTGTCGATGGTTGTTTACCTTTGCTATTCTTCTTCCCATGCAATTTTCTTCAAAATTTTCAACTTTTCCTTGAAGAGAGCTAGGAAGCGGATTAGTGAACCTCAAACGATGTATTGGCATACGAGATTTTCTTGTTTTCCTATGCATGGATTCCTTCAAAACACGTTCCGAATCATCCATGGACTAAAAAACACCAAAGAAACTAAGAACAACCACAAAAAGCTAGAGAGAATTTTTTAGAGAGAGAAACTAGAGAGAGAGAAAATTCATGCAAATGAGGAAGCTTGGGGTTAGGGTTTAGGGTTTAGGGTTTAGGGTTAGGGTTAGGGTTTAGGGTTTAGGGTTTAGGGTTTAGGGTTAGGGTTAGGGTTTAGGGTTTAGGGTTTAGTGTTTTTTTTTTGATAGAGAGGGGGGAGACCCCTCCAGATCAAGAAAAAAAGCTAAAAGCCAAACAATGAAGCGCACAGGTAGGAGGTAAACCTCAACTACCAGCCAGGAGAAACCAAGGCACCCCGAGGGGAAAGAGAAGAAAAGAGGACAAGAACAAGAGAGGGGAGAGAAGGAGAGAAAAGAAAAACAGAGAAAGGGGAAGAGACGAAAAGAGAGAAGAAGAGGGGGAGAAAGAGAAAGAAAGAGAAACCGACCACAAGGGAAGGGCC